ATGATTTGCATAAGACTATGGCTTGGGAATCACAGATTTGCATAACGTTACGGCTGATGATGGCTAATTGGTCGGCCGGGAATTACGCCACATTACATTTGCATAGTGCTACGGTTCAGTAAGCACTAATAGGTCATCGAGTCCGATGTTGACGCTATAAAAAGGCGACAGTTCGACACACCGGATATACGTTACTCTCGTCTAAGTTCGACTTGGGAATTTTTTTGTTCAATAATAAATGTGAATTCTTCTTCCTGGAAAAAATAAGGCATTCCCTGAAAATAAGACCTAGCGCACTTTTCAGAGCAAAAATTAATATAAGACACTGTCTTATTTTCGGGGAAACACGGTATGTAAACAGAGAGGTCAGGTCTCTACATGACGTCACTAACTTGGCATTCCTGACTAACATTGTAGAATAGGGATCTGGCTATCCTTGTAGTATATAGTCCTTGGGTTAGGTTAGGTTAGATTAACTATATTTTTAGTAGACGTTTCCTTTTTTTTAATTTTGTTCAAGAACTACCGTGAATCAATAACTAGTGACGTTTGGCACAAGGTGACCTGCTGGAGGCTCCCCTCTGGGAGGAATCTGTCGGGCCCACGAACAGTCGGAATCGCTGTCATTGGGGTTATCTAGGTACACATTAACCAATTCAGTAATTCTACTTGCAGGGCAGTTTCTTAAGGATTTTTAAATTTTAACCTTAAAGAACGAAGGTCTGTCTTTGAATTTCAGTTAAGTAAAAAGTGAATAAATAATATATATTAAGTGTCACGTTGATAAAATTACTCAGGCCTATCAGATGTTTGGAAGAATAGCTTCACACGTGACTAACCTGTCTATAGAGGAAACATTCAATAATTTCTTCCATTTGTCATCTACCGATAAAAGAAGTTGTATTCTATAAATAATTCCAGGATCGACGTCTTTGACGTAATTAAAATTCATCATTTTACCGAAAGAGATTACATGGCCTTTTAAATATCTTAGAAAAAGAACATACGCTGTACTGATCCGGAAGTCACAGCAACATTTTGAACGTTGCCAGATGTAACTATTTTTCTTTTTCGAATTATAGAATTTACTTAAAAATTTAATAAGAAAATTCAAATTAAGGTAATTATTTATATTATGACCACCGCGATGCGTGTTTATTTAATTTTATTTTAAAAAGAGGCGTATTTAATAGATATTTCCAAAATATTTTTTTCCCGGGCGAACCGCATATAAAGTACTATAAATAAAAACTCGTACCGACTGTGCCCCGTTAATTAATTAAGCTTGTTGTCATCGTGGGACAATAGGCCGATGCCTTAACCGCCTCGACCGTTCGGCGTCTACGTAATTATTAGAGGTGGTAAATCCAGTTTCGCTCCTAGAACTGCAACTGATCCTAATGAGGAACTGTTAAGCTAGATGGTTCCTCGGAACATATAATCCCTACAGTGGCGTAGCGAGGGGAGTTACACCTATCGCTGAGAATGATGAGAATTGCTGAGAATCAAACGAACCATTTTCAATTTGATCAATTTTCTGAAACGTTTACAATCATTCTATAATCGAACAATAACAAATTCGAATTTAAAACGGTTTGAACATTTGGTTAAAAAGTCGAAATATATAAAAATATTTATAACAATATCTGAAATGTTATCAATTTAATTTAATACACCTGAGTACTCAATGAAAACTAAACGTAGTTGAAAACAAAAAATTGCATCTAAAATAGTACAGTATAAGCTGTTCTTTAGGTTAAGCCTTAATGCTCTCCCTCTCCCCCGCGGGGGAATTTCGAAAAATCCTTTCATAGTGTTCGTTTTCACGACGTACCCTAACTGTGTTCCAAATTTCACTTCTTTAGGTTCAGCGGTTTGCTCTGGGCGATGATGAATCAATCACTCAGTCAGTCAGGACAAGTAATTTTATATATTTAGATATAGAAACTTTGCCCCTCTGTTCTTAGCTTTTTGGTCAATCTACTCCAAATGTTTTTGTTTAACTCAGACTGTAAGGAAATATATAGTCCATATATTTCTTGGACCCCCACAGCGGGAAGTCACCACCTTGGGCGCTTGGCCATCCGCCATCTATCCGTACTGTACGTTTCTATATTCAACGGTTGACTCAACGGTGAGAGAACGACGTTTCTAAATGGAACGTTCAGTTCTCCGTTGAGAGTAGTGACGTCAGCGCTGTTTCACCGTTGAGCTCAACGGTCTCAACGACCGGAAAGACCGTTGAGTATTCAACAAACTAACATGGCGGCTTCCATGAAAAAGTAAATTCCTCTTATAGAAATCTATTCGCTACTGTGGATGCTGTAATAGCGGACACAGAGCCGGCCCTACCATAGGGCGAACGGAGCAGCCGCTCCAGGCGCTAAGTCCTAGGGGCGCCTCAGTGATAAAGAAACTTAAAGAAAAATTTTTTTTCACTTTTCGATATTTTAATTGCAAGTATATGACCAGTATGTGAATGGCCTTATCTGTTGAGACACGCGTGGGTCGAGTGCGTGGGCTGAGTTCCATCTCCGGGCGCCATAATAGGATCGCGAGCCATCCTAAAACTTGCCTAGGGCCGGCACTGAGCGGACAGATTAATGAACGATCTGTATATGATAAAACATATGATTGCACGATTATGTTGGATAATTTGGTCAATATTGAAATATTAAGATTTATTTTCATTTGTGTTCATATGTTCTTTTATATTATTTTATACTTATTTTTAATTTCTTTTTTGTTTCACCTATATATGTTTTTATATAATGAAACGAATATAATGAAAATAGTATGAACTAAGGACACAAAGGCAATTGAATTAATATCTGGTTTGTACTTGATTTTGACACGTTTTTGACAGTCATGCTCTTAATGGCATCCACGGAGCACTTTTGTAGCATACACATGATCCTTGACATGCTGACAAAGAAAAAAAAAAATTCAAAAAGATGATGTCGGGTGATTGGGTGGACCAAGCGATGTAGATAATGCGGCAGTCGATGATCGCCACCACATCCCTTTCAAACCTATGCACATGAAGCTTGGAATACTGACCGACGTTTTATTCCAACACATTTTATTCACACATTGAACAAATGAATTTCACAGAACCGTTTAAAGCCAGGAAGTTCGAAGCGAGTTCATTTGATTTTCTGAGTTATTCTGATACTGTATTTTCCAGTTAGGAGATGGGCGAAGTGAAGAAGAGATTTTGGAGTGCGATTTTTGGACGAAGACCTACAAGCGGAGAGAAGTGTATGGCGATGGTGGAGAAAGGTGAAGCATTGTACCATCGTCCCGTGGTACATCCAGAGGAACCACAAATCAGTGGATCTGGGCCCGAATTCACGGAGCATTTTCGACACCCGGAGGGTCCCGAAGCTAGTGCATCTTTGCCCGATTTTTCGGAGCATCCCAGACGCATTAAATGGGTGCAGCCGAACATTTATCTCATCAAAGAGGCAACCAGATTCAGATTGAGACTGGCTTATATCAGCCACGAGCAGCTCGAGGCCGAAATGTGGCCGGAAGACTCCAAATTCAACCGCAATCGGCTTCATCCGGATCATTTCGTCGGACGTCTACCTCCACAATTGAAGAAAGACAAGAAATTCTCTTGCTGCTGTTTCGGGTAAGCGCAATTCTCGTAGACTGAATGTTGTTTTAATTAACTGAATTCCTGCTCTATATAATATTTAATCTTAAATTTTATATTGCAGGCCTTGTCTCACGGAAGCCGATTGTGAGAATTTAGCAGTTGGAGAAGATATAATTTAGAACAAAGAATCTTCTACAATCCTCCAGTTCATTAGGACGAAAGTGCGACGCATTTTATCAATTTGAGACTTTTCTCCCAAACTATAACCCGGCTTTTGTGTTTTAACTGTGAATGGTCATTTGCTACATTGTGCTTGTGATTGTGATTCCATCCATGTTCTTAGTTTCAAACTCTTCAGAAACGGACTGAAATTTATGCGAATCATAATTGTGACTTGAGTATATTTTAATGTTTATATTCATTTAACGTTTTATTTGTATTTTAATTTAAGAAATATAATAAAGTTCTGAAAAAATTAATATTGTGAATCATTTATTAGCGATAATAATTATGAATATCAAAGTATAAACTGGATTATAATCAATCAGAATCAAAGAGATCAAACACATTTTAATTTGATGGATTTCTTTGATTCTGATTGATAAATGTAAGTAAATATAATTTGCAGTGGAGTGCCGTGATATTTGATGATAGGGAAGCTGTGTCTCTGTAAGAAGCCGACATTCAGGAGCAATTAGTCAATTGCGTGTCAGTGATGGTCTAGGGCAGGGGTCGGCAACCTGCGGCTCGCGAGCCACATGCGGCTCTTTAGTTCCATACGCAAATATTATTTTTTTTATAAAAAAAAACATTTAAAAATCGTTCTGAATCGATTAACGAGGATTAGGCACCGATTCTATCTCTCAGCCACTTGTACTCGCTTTTCACCGCACCCCTCCCCCGTGACACGCGTCGTCACTGTCGTCAGTCCGTCGGAAGCTCTCGAATGACGTCAGATGTTTCTATTATCTAATTTGTTGTGAAAAACACTACTTATATATGAATAAATAGATATTTTTTCTTATGAATAAATAGATTAGTTTTTTTT